TGCAAATCGCTGCTCCATCACATCCCTCGGGTGGCTGGGCTGGAGCTGCAGGAGACCCGCGGGCGCAGGCAGGCTCTGGCACACCCCTGTGAGCTGCAGCAGCCCATTTCTCTGGTACGGGCAAGGCTCCAGGTCTGGTAGGCCCTTTGAATCCCTCTAGGGAACTCCACAGGGACCTCTGTATCCCCATAGCCTTTCTGGACCCCGCAGCATTGCTTCTGGTGATGGAAACAGGCTGATGCCCCTTCCCATGGATGCTGTCACCACTGGAGGCAGGTTCGCAGCCCTGTGGCCAGCTCCAGCCGAGCTGGCAGGTAGCCCAGTCCCCTGCCTGAGCACAGGCTCTGCTTTCAAAGCAGCAAGGCTCCATACCTACAAAGAGAACGAGGCACGGGCCCTCATTCAGCTGCACGGCGTTGGAGTCCGTCAGCTCCAGCACGGGCTTGGGATGCCAGGGGAACTCGCGGCATTCGATGTCGTTCAGCACCTCCACCCGCCCCTGCCGTGTGATCACGTCTCCCTTGGAGTCCAGGACGATGAGAGTCGGGATGCCTGCGATGGAAGAAAAACAGGGGGGGTCAGCCAAAGCGTGAACTGGCCAGTGACAGGGCGTGGGGAGAAAGGCCTTTTCCTGTTGCCTCCGGCTCTGGCAGGAGCCCAGCGAGAATGCTGCCTCTCGACAGTTCGTGCACGGTGTGGGAATGGGGTCCCTGGATCCCGTTTCCGCCCTAGCAGAGCACTGTAATCCAGCAGCCAGCGCAGGAAGCTGGGAGACAGGCTCTGGCACTGCCTGCCTTTCCCTGCCCGAGTGCAGGCAGGGGTCATTGCTGTCTGACACTGATGCTCCCGGATGCAAACCCCACCAGAGGTTTCAGGGACGCTCCTTGCAAGCTCCCTCTTGCAAAGTGCCAGACAGAGGTGCCTCCTGCGTGCGAGGCAGAGCAGCGCTGCCCCGCAGGCACCATCGCCCCAGTGCTCAGAGGTGGCTGCCACTGGAAGAGCCCAGTCCCCGGTTCACAGGAACACATACGAACCCTTCTGCAGTGCGGACTGCAGACAACGGTGGCCAGGAAGCAGGGTGTGTTCCTTCCCAGAAGGAATGCCATATATTTTGAAGCCATGAACTCCTCCGTGAACCCTCACACCCCTCCTTGGCGCTAACTGCCCAGCCATTTCCAGAGCATGGGGATGTGCATGACAAATCGAACGTTATTACCTGGTTCAGATGCCGTTTCGTACCACCCAAGCCTGGCAAGGCAGGCAGCTGACACCGCCGGTGGAGGAAAGGGCCCCAGACCAGCACTAATAACGGTAATTTAGTGCTCAGGGCCACGGATGCCCCCAGGAATACTCAAAAGACAGTGCATGCCTCTGCAAGTGGAGACGGAGCGGGACCATACACACTAACGCCAGCAGACTTTGTCACACGGCTAAACCGCAGGCAACGCTTGCAAACGAACCTGGCATCCACCTTGCTTGGCTGCTGCCCTCACGTAAGGGAGGCGAACGTGCTTGCCGCAGAGTTTTAGCCCAAGTCACCCACTCAAACCCGGCCGGGCCGGCAGTGAGGCAGGGCGGACACCAGCTGGTGGCCATCCCATCTGATAAGGCACCGACGAGGCTTTCCGGCCACAAAACGGTCATGGGAGTCAACAGGAGCAGCTCATGTTGGTGACTTCATCTGGAAAGCACAGCATTCCTCTCCCATCAGGGAGACAAAGAAACATCCCGCAAGGACGGAAGAGAGGAGAGTTTGAGATCAGGCCCCAGGAGATGGGTCAAGTGCCCAGTGTTAGTGCCAGGTGCTGCTGTCTGCTTCTCACTACCCGAGCTTCAATCCGCTTGCTATCCAGCATCTCTGCCTTCACCCAGTGACATCCCCCCAATCACAACCGGCAAACTGAGGCAACTCAAATCCTCCTGCCCTCCTCCAAAGGTTCATTTCAAAGCTCATGGTTAGAAATACCCTGCAGAGCCATTCTCTGAGCAGGGGCACCCAGCGTGCTTGCCTCTGCCAGACTGCCAGGGCAGTGCACTCTCATGTTCGTACAACAGTGCATTACTCACAAGCTCTCTGAATTCTAGGCATTTCTCTAGGAAATACATGGCCGTCTGTCTGTCCCACGCCTGCCGGCAGGTCCAGGCAAGCGGCCGCATTCCCCTCATTCCAGCCTAGCAGCGCTGCTCACATTCCTGCCGGTGTGCTGGGGCTGCACGCTCCTGGCTGGTGCAAGAGCAGCAGCGCAGGAACGAGGCCCGATGGCTGGGCTTGCAAATCCCAAAGGTATGCCAAGAAAACCATTTTATATCACAAAAAGGCTTATTCATTACCTGATGGTATTCAAAATAGCTCTAGGGCAGGGACGGGTTAAACAGACTGCAAAGAATTGGGAAATCTCACTCCGGCCCTACCCTGCAAGGTACAAACGACTACTGAAGCCAGGAAAAGCATAGAGTGATCAGCATCCCACATGATTCTGATCTTTATCCATTTAGGATTCCCAACCCTGTCCCAAATGCTTGCTTTTCTGTCCACTCCAGACCTGCATTATAGATGAGGGACAGGCTAGAAACGTGGGTTCAGCTTGGTACCCCGTCGCCACTCAGCATGAACAATGCAGCATACCAAGGCAGAGACTGCAAATGAGTTTTGCTGTTCTGGAAAAATTAAGGGCCCAGTTTAGACACAGATCGCTGTCTGATCCCACAACTACCAGGGACTTCATCCACTATTCAAAGGATTTCGACTTTACCCGATTTGTGTATGTGGACACACAAACCACAGCACCCATCCACTAAAACCTCCAATTGCAAATACCAAACTGACTCAGAAAACAGAGTCTTTAAGATAATTTATCCCGAGTTTAGCACGCTCGGTAAATATAAATAACGCATCAGAAAACTTGGGCCTGGGTTTTCAGTCTGTTAGGAAGTACAGGATATTGTGCTGGGTCAATCCCTGCAGCTTTTACCCTGCATCAGAGGTTTCCCACCAGCCATGAAGCTCTGGTTTCCTTTTCTGGGCCCGCCTGGAGAAGGCTGAGGCTGCAACAACCCATCTGCTCCCGGTCCCAAGCATCGCTGCCTTAAGTCCTCAGCCCCTTCCTGCACATCCCTGGCCAGGTCCCTGGGGTTAGGACACAGCCTTACCAGGCTCATGGTGGCATCCCATAGCATCAGCCTCGCCTTCCCAGGTGAACCTTGTTACTGCTCCCCTGGCAAACACGTCTTCTTTGCATGGGACACAGACCAGCAGGACCAGGGGAACTGTCCTTAACCTTATTCACACCCGCTACTAACCCCAATACTTCCCCCCTGTCCCCCCTTCCCTGCTCATAGCAGCCACTATTTGTTATTTTAATGCCTTCTGGGGGCTTTGGTGATTGCCATGAGTCATAACACCAGAATTTACTTATCAAGAAGAATCACAGATCAGACACTCTGCAATGAATATTGTATAAGCTTGGATGAGAATTAGCATAGATAGGCTCAGTTTGATTTTATGCATTAGAAAATGGATTCGGTTCCCACGGGGCTAGCTTTTTATGAAAATACAGGGGCCAAATGATTTTTTTACAGAACCTGGCAATACATTTACTTACTTATATATTAAAACCCACATCCGACACGGAAATCTCATCTGCATCAAGTCTGTTGGGTGCTGACATGCAGCAAACATTCAGAATACACCAACCACAGGACGGGTGGTGGGTTTTATTGCTGTTTTTTCATCTTTTCAGAAGAAAGCTCCAGAAACCTGGTACAAGAAACCTCCTATAACAGTGACTTCCAGGCTGCTCCCGCCAGCTGGGCTGCGAGAGTGACCAGTGGGTGTCTGGGCTAAAGCACGGGGCAGGGGTGAAATAAGTTTTTGGAAGCTCCCCCAAGGGACTGCAAATCCCAAAGAGACACCACGGAGTCCACAGGAAATATTCAGGAACTCAAAAGGTCTCATAAGATACACAACAACGAGGGGCAATTCCTATCCAAGCATAAAATTGATCCGTGCTCCCCACCCCATCGGAAGGAGAGCTAGCGTCAGGGGATTTCACCTAAGGCAGGGCCATGCAGCCCAGGAGCTGCCTGCACAACAGAGGATTATTTCTAAGCAGTCACGACACAAGACATGACTCTTTCTCAAGATAGTGCTGCACCCAGAGGCAATTTAATACAGGGGGATACAGTACAGCCCACTGACTGCGCATGGGTTATGAATAGAGGCATTCAAGTAAACCCAAATAAAGGCCAATAACTCAACCTATATTTTATACTGAGTTTTTGAATGCTGTAGGGGCCAACACAGGACTAAAACAACAAGAGATTTGACTCTCTTGCTGCTTTCCACCACTCCGGAACTTAAAGCAGTCAGGGAAGACAAGCTCTTCTGTTGTTTCAACTCCTGGCCTTAAAAAAACAGCAGAAAAACCACCCCACGTGGATGCTGTGCTCACAACTCAAGGCACCACCAGGACGGTAACGTGGACACTGAAGGGGCTCCATGCTCTCGCTGGTGCATAGGTGCAGCTCCAAAGAGGGGCTTCAAAGATGCCTGGCAGCATCAGAGCCATGCACCAAGGGAAAGGCAGATGAGATTACACAGGGCTGATTTTTTCATTTAGGTGGAATAACCACCAGTGGCGATGAGCGGAGCCCACGACATGAAGCTCTGGTTGGAGAAAGCTTTCGTTGCAGCTGGGGCGGCAGCCTGCTGCGAAAGCCTGACTGCAAACAGGCAGGCAACACTAAAGTTGGCACAGAGGATCCTGAGCTGCTGCCTGTGCAGGGGTCAACGACAACCTGGAGCCCCTGGGGAGCAGCACAGGGGTTTCCCTTCAGCCCTCTCCCTCATTTACCGGTGCCCCGGCACCCTCCCCGCAGCACCCTGCTCCACTCCGGACTGCAGTGGGGAAAGAGAGCCCAGCCCAGCCCGACAAAGCCTGCGCAGCACCCAAGTGGGAAGGGAGGTGGGTCAGCAATGCTCCCCATGCAGGGTGCAAACTAGCCTGCCCCCGCATTTCAACACCACTTTGTGGGATCGCAGTTCATCCTTGCAGATAGGTCCCCGCTTTACGGGAAAACCATGGCAGACAAGCAGAAGGATTTGCCCTCCAACATGCCCAAATCCCAGGGTCGGCGTCCCTGGGAGAGCAGCTGAAATGCAGGGGTAATATGGGAGCTACCCTGGCAGAGGAAGGGGGTCAGGGCACAGGGGAACAGCAAATATTTATATTTTCAGGTCAGCACACAATGAAGAGAGATGTTTAAGGAGCCGGTGGCTGAAGTCAGAGGGAAAGCTGTTGTCACTGTTTCCCTGGCTACAGCATGCCTGGTGCTCAAGTATCCATGTCTGGACACCTTATTTACAGAAAGTCCCAGTGAAACTGGCAGCCGTCCTGCAGCGCTCAGCCGAAACCAGCACTGGAAAGGTTTGGGAGCGGGCTGGGGAAGAGGCAGATTAATTTGGAAAGCTCTTGCCTCATGGGAAGGTAATTAAGCAGCAAAATGATGGCTATTTAAAGCAGGAGAATGGTTATTCTTGGTTTAAGGTCAGGGAACAGAGTTGAGTGACAGCACCTGAGCTCACCCCAGAAAGGGTGTTCGGAGAGGACCCCAAGGAGGCATTACTTCTCCTGCCACTCTCCCCAGGCTTTCATCCACCTTTGGCAATACTCCTCCTCCCCTGCAGACTGCATTAACCCTCTGCCAGCCTGCGCCCACCTCACCAATGCCGCATGGAAATGGACAAGAAACAGGCACGTTGCACAAGACCCTTTAAGCACAGGGAGAAACTATATGTACGTACAGAAGACCTCCTTGTGAGCTAGTCACCTTGCACATCTCTGCTGCAGTTTGTATCCTGCAGGAACAAGGTGCCAGTCCCCAGGAGGACTGCTGTGAGCTTTTATTGTCTTCGTGGCTCTTTGAAGCCACCCAGACAGAGTCTCTGCCCTGCCCCTCTGAGCAGCCAGGGCTGCTGGAATTCTGGCACTGGCACGTACAGTAAAAGCAAAGCCATGGTTTACATCAAACACGCACTCTTCTGTAATTCTTGTCACTAACATAAACCAGATGCCATCTTCCTCAGTCTCTGCAGAGAACGATGGCCTGCCTTTGCATTACATAAAACAGCAAGAAAATGAAATTTAAACCTTCAAGAAAAAGCAAAATAAATGAATCAGTAATTAGGCAAAAAACATCCAAGCCAAAAACAGCTTCCAAGTTTCCAGGAAGAATTAGGTTGTTTATGGAAGTCCTGCTTCAACTAACAGCCTGCCTGGCAGGTGGTAGGAATGTGAGTTTGTGGAAAGCAGAAACACGAAGCGGCTCTGCCCGGGGCACTGTGCTTTGCTTTGCTGTTTTCTTGTTTTAGTTAAAGAGGAGACATTACACATTCAACAAAAGGAGCAGAAAGGAGGGCTGTGCATCAGCGCGGCCTTTCCTACCTTGTATGCCATAGAGTCGATTCAGGCGCGACCGTCTGGCCTCGTCGGCGTACGGCACGGCTACCCAGGGCATCTCGCTGAAATACTGCTTGAAGGAATCCTCTGACCTGTGCAAGGGGAACAGGGCATGGGATCCAGCATACAGCTCCTCTGCCTGCCAGGCTCTTGCTTCTTCTCATTAAAAACCTGGCCTGCAAAGCCCTTTATCCCTTGCACCAAAGCCCACCAGTAAGGGCTGCTGGCAGACACAACCTGGGCAGAGCCAGACGAAATTTAAAGCTCCTAGTCCCTCAAGCAGGGGTCCAGGGTGCACTTTTCCCCAGTATAATATTTCAAACTCTCCAGGGCATCTGAATGTCAACCCATGGTGACAGCAGCCGCCCAAGCATCCTTGAGGCCTCAGACCCACGAGCCAGAAAGCGAAACGCAGAGCTGCTCCACAGACAGAGCCTGCTCTCAGCTCACCACTGCCTCGCTAACGCCCCTTCGCACTTCGCTGCCGGGCAGAGGGCACGGACTCAGGCAGCCTTTCTGATACCAGAGCCAACCTGCTCTACTGCAAATCAAATTTCCTCCTCAAACCAAACCAGCAATGCTCACAGCTCCCCAGCCTGGGGGCGGCCAGCCCTGCCTGCACAGGGTGTTAGCGCTTCCTGACCTGTCTGCACTAACGAAGAGTATCTCAAACTTCTGGCCCGCCTCCTTGATTTTCCGGTAGGACTCCACCAGGACCCTCGTGAGGCTTCGGCACGGCGGGCACTGCAAAACACAACACGTGCATAAGGACATCGTCTCCTCCACAGGGCCAGACCCACACCCAGCAGGTCCAGACGACCCAGTGACCATGAGAAGACAGATGGGACCTCATCTTTGCTGGAGTGCCGGGCCGCAGCCCTGAACCTGGCTGGGGCTTATGGCCCATAAGTTGCCAACACAACCTCTTCCATTTTTAAAATCTGACCACTCCTCCCCTTCTGAAGGGCCAGCTGAGGATGACAGGGCACTGCAATGCTACAGCTTCTTCCAGAACGGCCGGATCATCTTAACTGCTTCAACACCAGCCAGCCAGAGGTCTTTACCCTCCCACAGAGCTCTGCAGCAAGAGCTGCAGGGGGATCCCCAGAGCACCCCCTGAGCTCGCTCTAATTGCTCTGCAAAGCGCCTACTACTCACCCAGTGTGCGGAGAAATAGACCCCCACGTGCGAGCCCTCCAGGGCATTGCTGTCTAGCGTCTGGCCGTTGTTCCTTAGCAGAGGCCCAGCAACAACTTCACTGAAGGGTTTTGGCCCCCAGGGGAACTCCAGTCCTGGGGAGGGGTCAGGGTGTGGGCGGAAAGAAGACACAAAACAGCAAGATGCATATGTAGCATTTACAGTTTCAAAAAGTTTAAAAAAAAAAAAAATCCCACCTTCTGCAAAGATACAGGGGAGCTGGGAAAGCCAAGCTCTGCACTGGAGCCAGGGCCACCTCTTTCTCACAGGTAGGCTGCACCCGAGCCCAAGTTGCAGCAACTGCAGCTTGACAAAGCCTGCTTGGGTTTTGTGCCTGATGAGGCATCTTTTCCTTATCAACAGCATTTGTTTTAACAACAGAGGGCAAGGTGGTACGTGCTCAGGAATGCAGTCAGACTATTTGCCTTATACTGATACTAAACATGTATTTTTAATATATATTTATTTATTTGTAAAACCATATATATATATATGTAAAAGACTTTTTTCATATATATGTTAGAAAACTCTCTATATAAACTTAGACTAACCCTCTGCACCCCAAAGCAAGCAAGTGTGCGTACACACAAACACATGCTCTGAATCATCTGCTGCCAGCTCTCAGAGCAATCGATCTATGTATTCAGCCAGAGAAGAGGAAACATCAGAGATGGTTCAGGCCACAACGTGTACCTGCTGTACAGTTCCTGCCACCTGAATTAGAGACTCGGCCACTGCGCTTGGCATCTACTGCATGAAGAAACGACAGGCTGGTAATTATGTGCGCATGGACAGCCTAGCAGTTGAATGATGGGTCTGCAGGGTCTATGAGTAAGGGCACACGTTTTGCTGATTTTTATTTTTGCAAATTGGAAGAAGACGGATTTAACATCAACCCCCAGCTCAGTAAACCTCAGAAATGGTGAACAGCGGCATTTCTCTGTTGCGTTTGTAAATAATGGGGAATTCATTATCCTAACAGACTGATGTCAATGATAAAGTCCCACTCACTACTTTGGAAGGATTCTGCTCCCAAGATATGGAAAGACTGGACCCTCAGTTTGTCTGTCCACGTGCCTCTATCAGGGAAAAATCCAAACTTAATGTTTCAGTTAGTCTAACTTTTTCCTCATTAGCACTTCAGACAAAAATCCTGGAGGGGAAATCTTTGTTCTTTTCAACAAGCAAAACCAAAACACAAGATCTGGCAGGAGTGATGCAGAAAATTTTATGCTGAAAATAATACAGTGCCTTGATTAGTTAAGTATGACAACAGTTGTTTGTCTCCTTCCTCCCTTGCCCAAGGCAACTGAAAATGAACTGAACTGAACAGGCAGCTCTGTGCCCATGTTTCTACGGGACACGGGACTCCAGGTCTTACCTTCTGGGTCATCTCGGATTACCAGGAGGCCATTCCTGCAAACCACCTTCCCGGTGGAGGCATCGATAAATATCAGGGAAGGAATGTTGGAGACTCTGTACTTGTTCCACAGCTTCAGCTGTAAAAAAGAGATTGGGAGGGGACAGGAGGAAGGTAAACTTGGCAGAGGAAGATTTTGGAGCATTAACATCTTTCAGACCAAAGGTCAGAGCTAAGCAAAGAAACAGAGCCGGTGCTTCAGCAACGCATGCGAAGGCCCGCGAGGGCATCTCTCCAGAGCTGCTGGGCCAGCCTGGACCTCCAGCGCCCGCAGGGACCCGCACCACCAACACGTTTGTCCCATGCCTGCTGTGGGCTTGCCCGTGAGCACGGGCAAAGCTTCTCCTCCTGCTGCATTTGCCTCTTTGCAAGTAAAATGGGGATAATATTCACCATACTTTGAGGTCTTTGTTTAGAAGACATGGTAAGCACAAATACTTTTAATGCCACTGCTCTGAAGCAATTTGTAATGCTTCCCTGGCTGTTTCCTCCCCTCCCATTTCAATGTTCATTAAACAAACCAGCAACCCCTGCCAAGACGCAGCCACGCTGAAAACAAGGCCAACACACAGAAACAGGATTCTTCTGCAACTGGGGCTTCCCGGGTTTGCTCCCAGAAGCTGATTAACGGGTTTGACATCAGCCCGGGGGCCGCGTAGCCCGGCTCACCTCTCCCGCGCCACCAGCCTCGCAGCGGTGCCCGCCGGCTACGGGCGGAAGCCGTGCGGGCTGCGGAGGCCATGTTTCGGGCGTCCCGGTCCAGACATTACTGTCTGCTGGTCATTACGTCCTGCAGCGAGCTCGGCTCCGCACAACACCGGTGGCTGAGCGCTCTGGGTGTCACACGGTCCTGGGTTGACGTTTCTCAGCATATGCTTCTGGCACAGGGTGATCTGGAGCTTAACCCACGTACGGAAGCTTGCTGGGACGGGGAGGAACAAGACGACGACAGCTGCTGGCACGGCCCAGCCTGCAAGTGCGGGCCGGCTGCGGTGGAGCCGCCGGTCTCAGAGGAGCCCGTCTCCCCGCCACGCACGGAGGAGCTGCTGCAATCACCGCGTTTACTTACATTTCTGAGCGCATTTCAACCTAAACAGCCCAGTGGTGAATAATCAAACTTTTAAACAAAAGCCAAACCATAGCAGAGAGCCAGAGGGGAAGGAAATGAATCACCACCTTCCCCTAAGCTCTGCTCTGCAAAGCCCCTCAGGCTCCGGGTGTTTACAACTCGCTGGGGTTTGGAGAATAAAACCCAGAAACAGGAGAAGGGCAGGAGGGGACTAAGAATCCCACCCAGTCCCAGCGAGGGTTTAAGCACGAGAACCGGAGAAACCCTCACACAACGTGCTGCTGCTTCCATCAGTATCTCACATGGAAACTGGAGCCAGGTGTTTTCCCAGAGAATAAAGCCATGGCTCTGTGGATCGCCGTCCCTGATTTCCGAATAGAGGCAATCCCATTTTCCAAGACGGGAATGATCTGGGGAACCGAGCAAACGACGGCAGGAAAGGGATGCGACGTGCAGGCAGAGCAAACCACATCCCTTGGCTTGCTCACCAGAGATCTAGCTGAGGGGAAAGTCACATCCACATTCAGATTTTAATGGCACTGTATTAAATATTTCTTCCACCACGTTTTTACAAAAGATATGCCTGAATGAGCGACATGAGCCAGCTCGCTTGCAATGAGATGTTAGCAAAACCCTCTTGGGTCTGAAGGAAAGCATTAATACTGATGTAGGAAGATATTATCGTCCATCTACTAGGACCAAGAGAAAGGTCTTTGTGTCCTGCCCACCAGCCTGCAATTTCCAACAGACATATTCCTTGGGACAAGCAAACTCATTCGTAACGCCAATTCACAAACCCCAGAAGGTAAAATCCACTTCTGTGAAGTTTAATGGTGGGGAAAAGCTCTTCATAAGGATCACAGGCATTTAAGAGGGTTTTGCAAACAATGAGGAAATTACAACTAGCAATTGGATCATTCCGTTTAAATAGTTGCTTACATTACACTTCATTTTGCCAAGCCCTTTGTGTACGGGCCACGCTCCCCTTGGGGCACTACGGCGGGTCCCGGCAGTTTTGCTTGGCTGGGGAAGCTGCAGGCTCTGCACCTCAGAGTGCACCTCTCTGCTGGCTCAGGGGACAGCGCTGGGACACCCCAGATCAGGGGCTAAGACCAAACCAAACCAAAGGCGCTCTCGCTGGAAGCGCTGGAGCGGTGCACGGCTGGCTCCAGGCAGTCTACGGGGTCCCGCAGACCTGGCAGCTCTCGCCAGCAACCGGCCCTGGGTCTTCTCAGGACATGTATGCCACCAGGCCCCACTGGGCCCAAACTGCAGAGACTAGTCTTGGCTGCCCAGACATCTGCAGTACGGGTAATCCGCAATCCAGATGCTCCGTCCCCGTGAAACGGAGGGCTGCCACTTCTAACTCATCATTGAGGGTCCGCAGGAGAACGCCTCAAGCAAGCTTGAAGTGTGTCAAAAGGGTCAAAAAGCATCAAAAATGGTCAACGTGACACCTGCTGCCGCTGGGAGCAGTTTGGTTTGATGATTCTCCTGTGCGCTAGGGAGGCTGATGGGGAACAAGAAACACATGTGCCGCGGGACGAGTGCCGGGATCTACCACCATTCCCACCGCCCTGGCCCTCTTCAGCCAGACTCGGCTTTCCAAAGCCTGTCAGACACTACCAAAGGAAGCCTGATGGCTCCTTCTACTGCAGGTCTGACCTGAAAGAGGAGAACCTTGACAGGAAATGGGCTGGTTCATTTTAGCCAGGCTTTTTGACTAAGATTGCTCACTCTGGGATTCCCACACCACTATTTTGCAGCTGAACTGCAGTTTCCAGCACCGACATCCCCTCTCCACCTAAAGCCTCTGAACACCAGGATGACCTAACCCGTCTTACGGCAAACTACTGCACCAGTTAGCTTTTCTTCGGGTTAAATGCCGAGGGTTTGCACACACGCCGGCTCTGGAAAGGAGATGAGCTCCTCCTCAGTCCCACTCAGCATACACCCGCTGGTTGTGGTCCAGGCAGGAAGAGGAGCCCGGGAATAAAAAAGGCATCCCTTGTCCAAGTACCTGCACAACCGCGCACCTCGCAAAGGATCCTGTGTCAGGCTGCGCATGGGATGCGGAAAGCAAATTACGACTTGCTCTGAAACCACAGGATGATGGGATGATAGCTCAGGCAGCAGGGCAGAGTGCTGCCTCAGCAACTTTTAAAAGCTGTTTTTCCTGCCGTGAAGAGGATGACATAGAAATAACATACTCCACGCTCTGAGGATTTGATCATCCATTTAAAGAGGGGATCTCTGCTCCGCTTCCCAACAGCTGTTGCAAATCTGTGGGATCAAGCCAAAGCTAACACAGATGTGGAAATAATCTACGGACTATTCAGCCCAAAAGCAGCTGATCCTCTCGGAGCGCCCTTCGCTCCTGGTTCAGGCTGCACGCCTGCTAAACTCAATATTCACTCCAGAACAGCCGCTGGAGAAGGAGCAAGGAAATACACCCCCTCACAAGACGCCATGCAGGCTGATCAGCTTTACAGAAACCTCTCTGGCTCCTGTGCAGGTGGTTAAGCACAGCAGTCCAGTGGAAAAACCAGAGTCACCAGATTCCTCCGGTAACCTTATCCCTACAAAGCATCACCACGCTGTCCTGGAGGACCTGGAAACCGCAGCCCTGGACTCCCTCTGCGACTCCATCCACAACTGGCTGCGAGAGGCTTTAAAACGATTGCTTATTATTTGAGGTCTGGGGTGATCCCAAGATGTCAGGCTGTGCAGCAGCACGCAGCATCAGTCACAAAGCTGCTCTCCACACCGGCGGCTGGCTCGGTTATTTCTCTCACCCTGGTGACGGAAATACCTGGCTGAGATGCATGTTGGAGAGAAGTCTGGAAAAATTACTGTGGCAGCCTGCAGATAAAGGTGTCAGACAAGAGGTCTCCCCAGCAGCCCACGGCTGTTTCTGTGCAGGGCTGGCACCCGGCCGGGATGGATGAAATCCCCTCCTGCTCTGCGCGTACTGGTGGGGAAGGGATCCCCATCTCCGAACAGCTGCCGGGCGCTATTTTTGGTTGTGCTGATTGATTTATCAGCCCTTAGTTGCATTCACTTACTAACATAAATCCTGAGCTGCAGCAGTTAATGCTGGCAAAGATAAAGCACAACTGCTTGCAGTGAAATGAGCCCTCGCCAGTGGGAAAGCGGTCCTCCCGCCCTCGCTCCCCGCTTCTCCACTGTTGTGTGAACCTGGACTGTGAAAGGTCCTGTGCATCCGTCTTCCATAGGATATGGAGCTACCTCTGCCTGGGACACGTGGAGGTTTCAGAGGCACCTGCCCATATCACCAGCAGGGCAGACACTGCCTCTGCTCATCTTGCCACCCATGCTTCCAACCCCGACCAGCGATAGCCAGCTAAAGCTAATTTAAGAACTGAAAAGCAGATCCCTCAGCAATAATGAACATGTTCTCAATGTGGACGGCTAATGCTTTCTACTAAATGAAACTCAAAGCCACTTTTCTTCTCCTAAAATCCACCCTTGGAGGCAACACTGCCACGGTCCGGTGTTGCCATTCCTCCGGTGAGGCACTGGGAAGCTGCTGCTGCTGCTTCCCAGTGCCCCATGAGTGCTCACACAAGAACACAGCAGGGTTTCCATTACAGACATGAGCTTGGCTCTTGCTGGTCTCTTGTTCCAGTGCCACAGGCTGAAACATGAAGTCTGAGGAACTCAGGAGTAGCGCTGGGGTGGAGCAGCACCGTTGGTCCAGGGCCGCGGGGACCAGCAGAGCCCATTTCCCGTCTCTGCCACCCAGACCAGCTCCGGCCTGGTGAGACAGCCATGACCATCCCCACCGCTCCGCTTTCACAGTCCCACGCTGCAGGGGACCTCTCTGTCCTTACTCACTCACAATATTACGTTGCAGCTTTTACATTGTGCCTTAAAGGGTTTACAAGCACCAGGGGCCACCCAGGCTCTGCAGACAGCAGGCACAGGGCTGCAGAACAACAGTCTGCTCCCTCACGCCATCGATTTAAATCCAGTTCACGCCTGTCCCT